CTGTGTTAAGTTAGCTGCATCAATCAATCAACCAATCAATCAATCATGATTAATGCCTATGAATAATAATCTGGATAAAAAGCCATGAGGTCTGTAAATTGTCACTAATATAAAATAGATTTTTCTTTTTCTTTTTTAAAAAAGACAATCAATCGCCTGCATCTACGAATGAGATGGTGCAGAAGTTCAGAATCATCAGTCAGAACAAGGTCTGGAGCCAGCTGGTGGAACAGAGTTGCTTGTGTGCAAGTTCAAAATAAAGCTGAAGAAAACAGCTCTAGAGTCAAAAAATATTGACTCTAAGAGAGTCAATATATAACCTTAACTATATTCTACCTGGATTTAGAAACCATCTAAGTACAGATTTGATAGACGAGACGAGGGATGACATAATGAAAAAAAGAAATCAAAAGGTCATGAAACAGGAAAGAAAGAAAATAATAAAAAGGATGTAAGAAGAGAATCTGAAATTTGCTCAAAAATGCAGTGAAGGTGAAGCAAAAGGGAGAAATGAAGAGAGCTGGACAGATTTCAAACAGCAGCTTAATAAGACAACTGCTAGGGACATACACAAAAAATAATAAAATAAAAAATTTAAAAAAAGACAAATGCTAGTGTTATAATGAAATGTGCAAAGACATGGAGTTAGAAAAATAAACTGGAAGAATACACTTAGTATTTTTTCCAGCTGAAAGAAGAGAAAAAAAGTTTCAAGTGTTAAGTCGAAGAATTCAGAAGTAAAACAGTGATGAAGAATTCTGTAGGTAAAATACCAAATGACACAGGAAAAATAAAAAGAAGATAAAAGGAATTAAAAAAAGGTCACTGTACCAAAAAAGAATTGGTTTACATTGAACACTTCAGGAAGTAGCAGATCAATAACTAATCTTAAGAAAGAAAAAAAAAAAGAAAGATCAGGCTGGACTGAATGTATCAGCAAAAAAATACTAAAAAATCAAAACAGCAAATACTCAAAATCACTGCAGTGACAGTTCCAACTCACAGTGAACCTTTCCTGGTTCCTGAAGCTGTAAATCCCAACAGGTGACTGCTCATCTTTCTTGGGGTTACAGAGGCACAACTTGCTACAAACTACACTATCAGAACTCCCTTAGCAAAAAAAAAAATTTAAAAAAAAATAAGGCCCTAAAGATCAACAGAATATAAAATAAGGTGTTTCAAGAAACACGTGTAGACCTGAAAGTGCTCACTTGTCTACGCTAAGACACTGGAAAGACAGCTAGTTCATCTACCAACTAGAAGAGATCTTTATTTGTGCCAATTCCAAAAACAGTGCTCCAATGAAATTAAGAAATTACCTCAAAAAAAAAAAATTAAAAATTAAAAAAAAAAAAAAAGAAATTACCTCACTGTATCATTAATAGGGAGCTCTGGAGGAGAAAGATGGGCTCTCTGCCCTCATGTGATTTACTGTCTCTGAAATCCCACTGGAGAGTCAGCTATGATTGGTTCCAACTCAATGGTGTTTAACAATAACATATTAATATTACATGCAAGAGAAATCTTGCCAAAGAAAATTTTAAAACTGTTGAGAGTAGTATTACTAGCAAGAAGGTGCCAGAAGTTCAAGATGGATTTGCAAGATTGTGGAATTGGGATTGCTGATGTCAGATCCTGACTGAAAGCAAAGAAAACTACAAAGATATTTACTTGGGTTTTATCGACAATGCAAAGGCATTTGACTATGTGGATCATAACAAATTCTGGTAACACTGAGAAGAACAAGAATCCCAGAACAGTTAGTTGTACTCATGTGCAATCTAAACCAAGGAGCAGTCACTGAAATAGAACAAGGGGATACACTATGGGAGAAAAAAGGAATGGATCTTTTCATTTAAATCTGTTGTTGTTACATGCCAAGTCGCCTGCATAGCAACCCCATGTGCAATAGCTCAGAAGACTGCCCTGTCCTGAGCCAGTCTCACTGACTCTGACACACCCACTGCCATTTCCATAGTTTCTGTATCAATCTATCTCATCTGGGTCTTCCTCTCCTGTATTGTCCTTCCATCCTTCTGAGCATGATGTCCTCCAAGGGAATCCTAGCCTCCAAGGATAGACTTGTTTTCACCATCTCTAAGACAGACCTATTTGTTTTCTTGGTGGTCCATGGTATGTTTTAGACTCTTCCTCAGCATCACAACTCAAAGGCATCTTCTTCTGTCCTCCTTAGTCATAGTCCAGCTCTCTGATGCATAGCAAGTATTTGTGGATCAGGTGTACCTATTCAGTCTAAATGCTGAACAAGCAAGTTGATAAAGTGGCCTATATAAAGTGGAACACATTAGGATTGGAGAAAGATGCATCAACAACCTGAAATATGCAAAATAACACAACCTTGTGCGCTGAAAGTAAAGCGAACTTCAAGCATTTATTGAAGATCAAAGAATGATATATAGCCTTCAGTATGGATTCTGCTTGAACATGAAGAAAACAAAGATCCTCACCATGATTTCAGTTTACTTGGATCAACAATTACCAATGGAAACAGCAGGCAAGAAATACAAATGATGTATTGCACTGGGCAATGACCTCTGTAAAGTGTTAAAGAGCAAGGGTGTCACTTTAAAGACTAAACAGCACTTGACTCAAAACATGGTATTTTCAATTGCTTCATATGCACCAGAAATTTGGACAATAAACAAGGAAGAATAAAGAATAAATTATGTCTTTAAACTGTGGTGCTAAAGAATATGGAATGGACTTCCAAAAGAACTAGTCTGTCTTGGAAAAGGGGAGTTATCTTTCTCTGTAAGGTGGCACAGTCACTACTCATTTGTCTGTGGTGAAGATCAAATGAAACCCAAGGACAAAGGGCACAGCATATTACCAAGCCAAGAGCAGATGTACAACATAAAGGAACTACAGTTCTAACTAATCTTTGAAAAATTTTTCCCCTAACAAACAAGGCCCAATCCATTTTTCTAGGGTTCTTCTTTCTCCCCTCTCAATTAAAATGCCCCCAATTTGGGGATATCAGCTCCCTTCCACCTCCTCCATTAGTGAAGAAACCTTTCACTGTGCCTGGAACTCTACCAGTCACGTCTTTCACACTCTGGCCTAAGGGACTTGGAAGGGAGTGCTAAGTCTGCATGCAGGTCTGACATTCACGGCTGTGTGATGCTCAGGTATCATTCATACAAACTAATAAGGGTGGGGCCTCAGTGAGTTATGTTATAAACAAACTGTCTTCAAATTGAGGCCTAAGTTTGAACTCTAACTTCCTAAGACTTCAGTTTCTTCATCAGTGAATGGAGATGTAATTGGTTCTGATCACGTGAGGTGGTTAAGATTAAACAGTTTAACAAACTGAGAGCAGTGCTTGGTATAGTCTAACATTTCCTGAGAACTCAAATGTCATTGTAACTGGTTTCTTGTCATTCCACATGTGGGTGTTTTTCCTAAGGCAGCTACTGTAAAAACCCAGGGACAATGAGTCACTGAAAACTTGCAGTGTTCCCTGCACCTAGTGGAAAGCAAAGCCTCGTTTTTTTTTTCTCTCAAGGTCCTACTCCATATTTATGTCTGTCTAAATCTACTTTTATTAGATCTCTTATAAATAACAAAACTCGAAAGCAAAGTGTTGTTAGTTACCGATTCTGGCTCATGACAAGACCACGTGACAGCAAGTGAAGCTGCTTCAAAGGGTTTTCATGACTATGATCTGACAGAAGGGAGACCACCAAGCGTTCCTTAGGTCAAGAGTCAAGTGCCAACTTGTGTCACTAAGAGACACAAGTCCCAGCAGCATTCTGGACCTACAATGTCGAGGAGATTTGGGGCTCCAGCTCCACCATGGGGACTTGTTTGCTTCCCCATCCCCTGGTTCTGCTTCTGAGATGGCTGCTGCTCAATTCTTCCAAGTGGCTGGAAAGCAGGTCCCTGAGTGATCTGATTGGTCCAACTCATGTGACATACCTGTTCCCTGGACCACTGTGATGTAGAGGGATGGTGCAGTGAATGGCCAAGCTAGCGTTGAGTGTCTACTGGTTGGCTGAAGAGTCCTATATGGTCACATGGTCTAGAGAAGGGGTAGTTCTCTAAGAGTTTGGGGCTGGGCACACAAAAGAGTTGGCTGTGCTATCATTCCTGATGATTCAGTTCATAGGTCACTTCTTTCTTCCCTCCAGTGTTTACCGCAACTTTCCACAATAAACCACACATTATTCTGACTCTCTCAGACTAAACTGGGAACCTGTGGTAGAACTGAAAACACAGCTGCTTCCTGCTCAAGCTGGAGAATTTACATTGCCAGCAGTGTGGTCAGCAACTCCTTCCTATTCAACTCTTTGGGGTGGTCCACTGTCTCTCCCCATCACCTTGGTCTCAAAGGGGTACAGACTTCATCCTAATTAAACACATGAGAGCCATAGCAATTATCTCAGAAATGAGCATGAGACTTATTTTGGGTCACTGTGGAATAGAAGATTGGGCAATCTCCTTTCGTGTGATTAAGTGCTTTTGAAAACAGCTATGGGTTGGTTCTGACTTGATGGTACACAACAGCAACAATAAGAATGAGACCTTCTTTTCTTCTGGGTGGGCCACAGGCCTCCAGCTGGTTCCTGCCCGCTCCTGCTGGACATAAATGAGGAAATACTCAGGCTTGACCATTACTGGTTGCCATTCCTAGTGGACAGGAACCTACTTTTGTGGATATGACACCAGGGAGGGACACTTGGATAACCTGGCTTGAGAGCCCTGCCACCCTGATGGCCACCTAGTCCCAGCATGGTCAAGTTCCTAAGCCAACACACTTCCTTAATCTCAGAGCAGGATATTCTGTTATTTGTAGCCATAAATACCCTCAGAAAGAGGGACTCAGAAAGTTAAAAAGTTTTCCCTGAATGAATGACATGGCAGTGGCCAATGACTGAGAAAAAGCAGGTGTGCCCACATGAACCTTTGCCACCCACACTGATTCTTTTCCACTTCACAAAACCCCATAATAGACACTTCAAAACTCTGGGTACTTTCTTAAAAACCACAGCAGTCACTTTAACCTTCAGTTTGCACTTTACAAAACCACAAGGGAGAAGTCCATGAAGGGAAGAGGATAAGGAGGTAGGGCAGTGGGAGATGCTAAAGGGAAAAGGCAGGCCCAGAAAATAAGGCCCCTCATCTGAGTGACAAAACAGAGCCTGAGACCCAGCCCAGCCCTCTGGGCCTCTCGGAGCAAAAGACCTCAGGGAAGGGCCACAGTCCTCAGTTTCTAGAGAAACTGTTTCACTTGACAGGACAGCCACGGCTAGTGGCTTCCGTCAGCATCAGTGCAAGGACAGAAGTGGGCCTCCCTCTTCTCCCTTTCTCAGGCAGAGCAGCAGGAAGCCTGAGGTTGGGCTCAGGGCTACCCATCTAGCAGCTTCAGAATGCTCTCTCGCTCCTTCAAAGTCTTCCAGGCCTGGTCCTTCTCCTTCTTGGTGGGAGTCCTCTTCTTCTGCCGGGCAGCCATGATCTTGCGGAAGGCATCCATGACCTCATTGTCTGCCATGCGGACCCGTTGCCTCAGCTCCTGACGGCTCACCTCCTCCTTGGCCAGCCTGTGGGGCCCAGCAGACCAAATGCCAGGGTCAGTTCACCTAGTCCAGTGTGGCCTTGACCTCTCCCAGATCAAGCCCAGCTACTACCCCAGACTGGTACTCTTGCAGACCATTTTATACACCAGCACAGCAAAATTACTGAATATCAACTATATGGTACTTTCTATAGGCCAGACACTATTTTATACTTATAAAAAGATCAACTCAGTTAATCCTTATGATAACTGTGATGTCATGGAGGAAATTGAGGCTTAAAGAAGTAATGTCTCAAGATTATATAGCTAATGAGTTGAAGACCAAGGGAGGCAGGCTCCTCACTGTTTTTTTTTTTAAATCTCTAAAAAGGTGTCTAGTGCCAACAGAAGACTTGCTGAGTAACTTACAGGTTACTCTGAGGTCTCCACAGATGAGGTGGGAATGAACCTTCCAAACAGGATCCAGCCTAGAAATTCCAGTGAGAGTGGTGGAGTAGGAAGGGCATTTAAAGGATCGAGTCCAACCTGTTTCTCTTACACAAGGGGAAGCTGCTGCATGGTGCAGGAGATACAAATACCCCACTGTTGCTCTGTGCCAGGGCTGAGGACTGGTCTTTTGGTAAGAAAACCCAGTGGCTGTAGAGTCAATTCCAGCTCAGAGTGACTCTCACCTGTGTCAAACCAGAACTAGGCTCCAGAGGGTTACAAAAGCTGATCTTTTAGAAGGAGACTGTCAGGCCTTTCTTCCGATGTGCCTCTGGATAGACCTGAACCGCCAACCTTCATTTCTCAAGGAATGCACATGCATCACTCAGACTCCTGGATTTCTATTTTCTTCACCATGCATTCCTTTTTTTTCTCGGCTCATCCCTGCTTCTCTCTCTCTGCCTCCTTCATCTGTATTTTCCTCTTCTTGCCTTGACAAAGGGGAGTGAACTAGAAAGAGGCTTTGCATTCAACTTGGACCCAGGTCTCAGTGTGGCTATAGGGCCTTAAAGAAAACATGCCATTCCCTTGGGCCTTTACCTCTTCATTTTAAAGTGGAAATCCAGTGTTTCTATTGAGATTAAATGAGAAGGTGCATCAAAACCCCTGGCATAGACACTTAGCAGCCTTTACTACTTCAGCAGCTTATCAGCAATAGTGCAATCATCCCTCATACATTGCTAGGCCTGTGCTCTACCTCTCTCTGGCCCTGGCACAATGTCTGACCAAGAGGCATTAGGACTGGCCAAACGTACATGAATGTGCCTTAGTCTGCTGATGCTCCATGAGGTTAAAGCATAGCACCTACCTGTGAGCAGAGAAAAAATATGGCTGAATTGCTGTCTAGCAAAATGGAGCCACTACTACAGTCTCTCCAAATGCCACCTTTACCCTTGTTGTGATGAGTTCAGCCCTAGATGTCTGACGGATGTGATATAAAATGGATGGCACTGCTACTGATTTTCTAAAAAACTGGTCAATTTCTGATACTGAACCAACTAGAATTACAAGTGCAATGAATTATAACAGTTGATAAATCTAGATGAAGAGTATATTGTAGTCTTTCAGATTCCCAATGTGCTTTTAATAATTCCTAGAAAACCTTGGGTGGGGAAACAAAACAAGCATGGAAAGGTGCTTAAAATACCAATCAGAGATGGCTGAGCCCTACTTGGAAGAGTCAGAACCTGTGTCAGATTTCCGTTCAAACCAAAAGGAAGATGTCTTGCCATTGATGTTTTCCTAAAGCTCCTCAGGAGACTGCAAGGGCCAGTTCTGTTTGAGAAGTCTGTCACAAAGCCCCTAGAAGGTGTCTGGTAGTGACAAAGACTTCCTTTAGCCATCCCAAGGAGCACAGAACCCCCTCACTTACCTTAGCAGATCATGCTTCTTGGTGCGGTTGTGGGCACTGAGGGCCTTCAGTTCAGCCTGTCGTTTACGCAGCTCAGCAAGGACCTCATCCTCAGAATCCTCAGCAGGGCGGTCCTCCGACTCCAGGAGGCCCTGGGCGATCAGCTCCTCTTTGATACGGCTTTCTAGGGACTTCGTATGTGGCACACTGCAGGAAAAAGCAGTTGTCAACTCCTCCTTCCATGGACCCCAACACCAGGCCCACACTGCAAGAAAGGCAGCTGTCAGCCTCCCAACACCAGGGCCACAATTCAGGAAAGGCTGCCATTGTCTCCCCACCACTGGGGCCACACTGCAGGAAAGGCAGCCATCAGCCCCTCAACACCAGGGTGACACTGCAGGAAAGGCAGCTGTCAGCCCCCCAATATGAGGGCCACACTGCAGGAAAGGTGGCTGTCAACTCTAACACCAGTGCCACACTGTAGGAAAGGCAGCCGTGAGTCCCCCGTGAACCTCCAATAGGAAAGGCAGCCATCAGTCCCTAATACCAGCAACACACTGCAAGAAAGACAGCTCACAAATGACCCCAACATGAGGGCTGTCTTGGAAGGGTCCTATTCCAAGGTTTGTAGGGTTTCCCAAGGTGAAAGAACACCCTCTTGTTGGTGAGCCCCCTCCTTCCATCCAGAAATAACAAGAGAGACAGACAGACATATCTGGACTTGTTTTTAAGGACATGTAGATATATCTATTGTCGAAATATCAGGAGCAGGTATACTTCAAAATGTCACATGCCAGAGAGATATACTATTATTTCATAAGATGTTACTTTATATGCAACAGCACACCTTGGTGAGATGGCGGATCTGGGTCCAGAACACCTTATTAAAACGAGTATTATTACAATGGAGTGAGTTACACAATTTTGGGTGGGGTTTGGGGTGTTTTTTTTTAATTGTCCTGAGAGTGTGAGTGTAGCTTGTTCTGGACCTCAGGACTACAGTATCAGGGGACATCAAGGACAACTGGCATAACATGGTCCTCAATGATGATCTTCTACATCCTGCTTTAGGGAGTGTCATCTGGGGTCTTAAAAGCTGTGTGCAGTCCTCTGAGGGAAAATGATTCCTGTTTTTTTCCTTTTTTTTAACAAAGAAGAGGGAGAAAAGCAAAGGTGTACAGAAACAAGTAGTCCAAAAGACTAAAGGACCATGTGAGCCTCAATCTCCAAGACCTTGAGACCAGAAGGACTAGACCACACCCAGCTACACCTGCTGGCCCCTCTCAGAGGATCATGGTAGACAGCCCTAGATGAGGAATGAAAATATGGGATCTGTTGATATGAGATTGGCAGAACCCCATTAAGTCACCCTTTGAGCCTGGGATAAAACTCACCCCTGAGGCTCAACTTTCAGCCCAACAACAGGCAGGCTTAGAGGTGAACAGTAACACCAGGGAGGCACTCAATTCCTAGAACCACCAACCTTACAAGAACATAAGAGCAGCACTTGCCCAGGGATATGAGAATCACAGGGAGGAAAGGGGAAAAGTATTGTTACAAAGTGGAGATTGTAATTAATGCTACAAAACGTGTGTTAACAGTTGAATGGAAACCAATTAGCTCTTTAACTTTCCACACAAATCACAATAAAAAAAATTTCTTGTTTTCCCAATAGATAGAAAATTTATGTTCATATTATAGTCTATACTGTAGTTTACTAGGAAGCCCTGGTAGTTTAGTGGGAAAAAGCTGAGCTGTAAAACCAAAGGCTTGCAGTTTGAATTCACCAGTTGTTCTGCAGAGAACAGGCAGTCTCCTTCCATGTGAGTTGCTGCCTCTGAAAACCCACTGGAGGGTTAGCTATGAGCTGGTTTCTACTCGATGGTATAGAATAACAACAACAACTGGTTGATTTTAATCTACGGATGTCAGGCCTGGTTCAAATTGTTTTTCTGTCAAACATTCTTCTAGGTGGTATAGCACTGTACAGAGGTAACTCGTGGTTGCTGTGATGCTGAACATTGTGACACTGATGTACCAAATGTGATAATGGTTACCCATGGTGGATGGACAGTGTTTGTTGGAGCTTTCCAATTAAAACAAGTCTGGAAGCAGGAGTGGCATCCACTTCCGAAATGGCTTGCCTCTGGAAACTCTATGAATAGTGCTCAGGCCTTTGGTTCACAGGGTCACTATGAGTCGTCTACAACTCGACAGCACCTAACAACAACAACATGCACACCCATTTTTTTTTTTAATTTTTTTTTTGCACACCCATTTTTATTGCTGTTATTTTAACAATATTGTTATTATGTTCACAATAACAAAGAGATAGAAGCAACTCAAGTGCCCATCCACAAATGAATGGATAGCAAAGCTGTGGTATATTCACATAATGGAATACTACGCAGCACTGAAAAACAAGGAACTGCTAAAATATTATACAAAATGGGTGACTCTGAAGGACATTATGTTGAGTGAAATATCTCAGTCACAAAAGGACAAATATTGCAAAATGTCATTGTTATAAAACAGGACTGATATGGAGGTTGACGAGAAACTAAGAAAAGGGGATAAATAATGAACACTGCATTTAAATAAATGAGAGAAAGAACTGTCTAAAAGAAACATATGATTAGGTATAACCTGCATGACAATAGTCCAGAATAAAAAAGTGCATAGTAAAGTGAAGTGGGGGCCGGGGTGGGGGGAGGAATTGCACAACAATGAAAAAATCTTTTTAAAAAGAAAAGTGAATAGGGAGGAAAATGTGCAACAATGAATGAATGGAAATACAAGTTTTCTGTAAAGTTTCATTAAAAGAACAATGCAAAAAACTAAAAAAAAAAAAAAACCCACAAAAAAACCCCAAAAATTGTAGTTTAAGTGTATAAAAGCATTATTAAAAAATATAAAACACTCTCAGACTTAACAAAATGTGACACAAATGATATGAGCACATGCTGATGGAAAAATGGCCCTAAGAGACTTGCATAACAGATGGTTATCATAAACCTTCAATTTGTAAAAAAAATAAAACAGAAAACCTCCAAAACAAAACATCACCAGAGTTTAAGCCTAGAATTGAAATCATCCTCAATTCTATGTTCAGTCAAACAACTGGGAAGCCTACAAGATTATCAGTAACACAAGGGGGGAAATGCCTAGAAAAATCCTAGAAAAATCAGCAGTACAGGATGTAAAGGCAACATTTGTCCAGGGGTAAAACACAGAAAGTAGGAAGGGATAGAAAAGGATGAATGGAAATGGGTAACACGTGAAGGAAGTCGGAGAGTGCAGCCACATTGTATGTATTATAATTAATGTCACAAATTAATTACACACATATAAACTGTTGAGTGGAAAATCAATTTTCTCTATAAACTTGCATTTAAAACCGAAAGTCAAGAAAAAAGTGCAGTATCTATGAACCACAATAAAGTGAGTGATATGCAATAAATTTAAGTACTTCTTTGTGTGTGAGATACACTTCTCAAATCATATTATATATTTATCTCATTTTTTAATGCATTATTTTAGGATTTTTAATTATGTGTGTGTACTTATTTTTTAAAAACCAGAATCACACTATCTGTACTAGCTTAAAACTGACATTATCTCCACTGAATACTCTCATTCTTTTCAAGTCAGATAAAAACATTTCTCTAGTATGATTAAAGTTGCAAGTTATTTCATCATGTGTCTTTGCTATGAACTGGTTCATCAGCTCCCGTCAGTGGGACACTTGAGTTGTTCAGTGTTAGCAGAGCTATGACGAGCCCTGGCCTACTCTGCACATGTGTGAAAATGCTGGGCTGGCACTCACATTCAGACTCTGCCTGAACTTCACCAAGCAGCCCTGGCTCTCTATTCATGAGACCACTCCTATATCAAGACAGACAGTGACAGAAGCAGGAGTTAGATTGTAGGGTGTGGACAGGACACCCCTTCAGGTCACTTACCTGAAGGGCTTGTTCTGATTGCGGGGAGAGGTGCTAGCCCCATCTGCCCCTGATTCTTTCCCAGACATGTCAGGAATAGGAGAGTCCTCCATGGGGGAAATAATATTTTCCTGGAAAACCAACAAAAAGAGGTAGGGGTAAATAGAACTGTTGAATTTCCCTTCTCATGCTCATTTCTGATCTGCATGGACAGTGTTCACAGATCACAAATGTTTCCTGTCCCATTTCATCCAGGCCTTCCTAAAGACCTCAAATAGCTGTGATTATTCAAAAACTTTTTATTTTTTCCATTTATAGAGAAAGGGAGCATAACAGAGTAATCAGAATAATCATCTAAAGTAACAGGAATAACTAAGGTTTGGCAAGCATTTGCAAAATACTAAATATTGTGCTAAGCATGATGCCTCAGAGGGCATTAGACGTCTAAATACCACTGTCTCCTTTCTTCCACAGCTACTGTTAGGTGCTGTAGAGTATGACCCACAGCGATCCTATGAACAGATCTGAACCCTCTCCTATCCTGCACCATCCTCACACTTTGTGCCACACTAGAGCCCACTGCAGCAGTCACTGTGCCAATCCTCCTGGTTGAAGGTCTTCCTTTCCTTCACCAGCCCTCCACCTTTCCAGGCATGAGGGCTCCAAGGACATGTCCCTCTCCTAACAACATGCCTGAGGGTATGTGAGGTGAAGCTTTATCATGTTTGCTTCCAAGGAGCACTTTGGCTGCACTTTCTTTAAAACATACTGGTTTGTTCTTTTGGCAGTCCATAGGATGTTCAGTACTCTAATACCCAACTTAAAGGCATCAATTCTTCTGTCATCCTTATTCATTGTCTAGCTCTCAGATGCACAGCAAGTGCACAGCAAGTGGAAAAGATCATGGCCTGAATAAGATGCACCTTAGCCCTCAAACTGATATCATTCTTCCTCATAATTTGGAGACGTCCCTGACTGAGGCCTTTCCCAGTGCAATACAGATTTCCTGATTCTGGTACCAAGGATGCTGATTGTGGATCCAAGACGAAGTTGTTGACAGTTTCAATCTTTTCTCCATCTCTCATGATGTTGTCTATGGGTCCTGTTATAAGAATTCTTCCACAGCAGCTAGGCTTAAGGAAGTTCTGATGGTGCAGTCTGTAGAGCATGGTGCTGCTAACCCAAAGGCAGTTCCTCTTCAGTAGTTTGAATCCACCAGCAGCTCCACAAGAAAAACAAGGACAATCTCCTCCTGTGTGATTGACTGCCTCCAGAAACTCACTGGAAGGTCAGCTATGAGTCAGTTCTACCTTGATAGCAATGACTAGTAGTAGTAGTATCAGCAATTCCACTTGAACTGTCAGGAATGGTAATGTGGGACTCTCTAAGAGGAAAGTGATCAGATAATAAAGCTTCCCTCATACCTCTCATGGTTTTTGTCTAGCATCTGAAATGGCAACCACTGCAGGGCAACTCTGCAAGTCATTAGAATATGACAGTAGAGAACCTCAGATGATGCCCCAGTCTAATAAAATGGAGCCAAGCCTGTCCCTATTCCTTTCTCTGGACAATCTAGAACATGTGGCCCAGACTGTCACTTGAGAGAACACAGACTTCCACTGTAATATTATAGGAAAGGCTACTCTTTGGAATACACTATGTAGATGATATAAACTTGCTTGCTGAGACTGAGGAGAACCTGCAGCACTTGCTGCAGAAGGCCAAGGATTATAGTCTTCAATATGGATTGAAGCTCAATATCAAGAAAACAAAGATTCTCACCACTGGGCCAATTGGCAGCACCATGATGGATGGAGAAGAGATTGAGATTGTTAAGTTACAGCTTGCTCAGATCCACAATCAACATTCTTAACACCAGCAGTCAGGAAATCAAAATACAAATTGCACTGCGTAAATCTGCTGTCAGGGACCTCTCCAGAGTACTGAGAAGCAACGATATCAGTCTAGAGACTAAAGTGTGCCTAATCCAGGCCATGGTCTTCACAATTACTTGTTATGCATCAGAAAGCTGGAAAATGATGAAGGATGACAGAAGAAGAATCGATACCTTTGAGTTGTGGTGCTGGAGAAGAGTCTTGAACATATCCTGGACCGCCAAGAAAACATAGATCTGTCTTAGAGAGTGTGCTCCGTCTCACATACTTTGGGTACATGTCCTTCTTGGAGAAGGACATCATGCTAAGAAGGGTGGAGGGACAGCACAGGAGAGGAAGACCCCGGAAGAGAAGAACTGATAGATACAGTGGCTAGGTCAATGGCAGTTGGTGTGTCAAATCAGGCTCAGGACAGGGCAGGCTTCACAGCTGTTGTACATAGGGCTGCTCTGAGTCGCAGATGACTCTGGAGCACATAACAACAACAATAATAATTCTTTGGAGAGGGACATCATGATTGGAAAGGCTAGGATCAGTGAAAGAGAGGAAAACCCTCAACCAGATGGATTGACACAGTGACTGCAGCAATGGCTCAAGTGTGTCAGAGATGATGAGGTGGCACAGGACAGGACAAGGTTCAAATCTGTTGTTCATAAGGTTGGTATGAGTGATCCTCAACTCAACAGCACTTCACAATAATACTCTACTATTTGAGACAGAATAGGAGAGAAAGGCTCAGGGAGATGAAAGGGCATGCCTCAGGTCAGCTAGTGGGCACACAGCAAGGTGATCTCAACTAGGGTTTGGATTCTGTGACCTTAAGCAAACAGTCCCTTTTGTGCTTCAATCTTTCCCTATAGAACACTGTCATTGCAGAGAGAGGATATGAAACGTCCCTGGTGCAGGGCTCAGCCTTTAGTCAACACCTAATGAAAGCAACCATGAACACTGGTTACCTTTGGGGGAGCACAGAGACTGAGAGGGACAACAGAGGGGCTTCTAGGACAGAAGTTGATACTTTATTGTTTGATATCAAGGTTGATATTAGTTTGCCTATTTGTAAAAATATATCAAGCTGTACATTTATGACCTCTGCACTTTTCTAAATAAATGGCATACTTCAATTTAAAAAAAAAAACTAAACAAAAATATTAAAACAGAAAGTAAATGTTGTTCCTGTTTAGGTTGGGGTGCTCACCTCTACAAGGGCCTGCAGAAGGCGCTGGGTGAGGGCTCCAAAAGGGCACCCATCTTCTGGCTGTTCATGCTGGGCCTCGGACTTCTTCAGTAGGGCATCCACGTCTGGTAGGCACAGGAGAGGAGGACAGATGGGCAAGGAGTCTGCACAGATGCCCCCAAGTCCAGGACAGAGTCAGGCAAGTGGGTAAAGGCCAACCTTTAGTATCCAGCTCAGAGAGTGGCCCCATAAGGCCTTTCTTCTTGTCAGCCACAGCTGCTGCCCGGGCGCCATCCTTCTGCTCCTCTAGCAGATCCTCCTGGGCCCAGCGCTGGGAGTAGTGCTTTCCTAGAGGTGGGATCTGTGGGGAAACCCATCCAGACCTGAGGGGATGTACACCGTCTAACTATGACTGGGCAGTGCAGGACTCAGCACACTCAGTACTTCCTTTATTTCTCTATCAACCCAGTACCTAGCCCTGGGCTAGGGCTTATGCCAGATCTGGGTAAGATAGAATCCCTATACTCACATTCTAGGAAGAGACAGACATATAAACTAAGACTTGCACAGAAGCCAATATGATACAGTTTCTAAAATAAAAGTGTACACACAGGACTGTCCCTGAGAACAGCTGCTGCTTCTAGTGAGACACAGGACCCTATGGTGAGGGATTAGAGAAAAAGGTTTTGTTTGTACTGCTTATAATGACATTTTTTTAAAAAATAATGACTTTTTTTCAAATATATAACAAATCATTTAGATAAGAAAAGAGGTAAGAGAGAGATTAGCGTGCTGTGGTAGAACAAGGAAGAATCCAACTTACTCTGTGGGGTCTCTCTGAAAAAGGCTAGGTCCTGGGGAGCAGGTCACTGTGCCAAGTGGGGGACATGGCATGGACTGAAGCCCAGGGGCCAGTGTGAGCCTGAAGTCAGTGCAGCAGTAAGGAGATGTGTGACCTCTCCTGGCTGGGGAGCGGGGTTGGGGCACAGTGGGGCTGGGTGCCAAGAAGGCAGGGCTGGACTCCTTTCCGTGGGCAGTGGGGATCAGAAGAGGCTCAGAGCTAGGGTCAGGTCCCACGGTCATCTCATTGTGGCAGCTGGACTACCAAAATGTCTCCCTTCTTTGTCACATTTTCTTAAATGTCTTATTTTCATCATAAAAAAATTATACTTTTATATACATAAAAAATGTTCTTCTGGAGATCTAAAAGTAGGAGATGAGTACTTAGGGTAAAAGGTGATGAAGGGTTAAAGTGAAGCAGGAGGGAAGGGCTGAGGTGAGAAAGGGAGGTGTGCCAGAGGGGCGAGTTTAGCGGCAGGAGGCTGAGCAGGCGTGGGGAAGGGAGGCTTAATTCTGAAGCACCATGTCCTCAAGGTTCAGGGTTTCTACCTTGTAATGCTCAGCCTCATCTTCAGGGGGCTTGAGAAGCTCCTCAAGTGTGCGCACTTCCTCACTGGTGATATCTGCACAGTAGGGCTCCACTGAAGCCCAGAATCTGCAGAGACAAGCAAGCAAGTCCTGAGTGGGCACCTCCTGCCTCAGCCGGTCAGTCCTGCCCCTCCACACCCACAGTCTGAGGTCCCTTCTATATATTCTCTGGCCCAGAACCTGTTGGGGGCATCATTCTTGGGGATCCGTGGCACATCGATGGGGTCATCAGTGAATTCATATTCCTGGATCTTGGGCTGAAGATGTTTGGATTTGGGTCGCCCAGGACCAGGGCCTGGCCCGTGTCCCGCCTTTCCTTCCAGTTTCTGCTTCTTGGGCTTTCCATGTTTGGGGGGAGCTCCAAGCTCATGGTCTCGACCTAGCTTCAGGAATCGGCGATCACCTTTCTTATCCTGCCAGTCTGTGAGGATCTGAAATTCACAGAGACTTGTCACTGAGGAGGAGAAGGGAAAACACAGGGCATTTTCCTCAATGAAGAAATTAGGATCTAGAAACCACGAAGGCTTTGAACTCTTTCCCCAACCTCTTTACTTAGCAGGTGCCTAGCTATCTTTCAAAATCCAGTTTCTTTTTCTACCTCTGTCTCATAGAAGACTTCTATTTCTCATTCCAATTGCTTATTTGGCTCTATCCTGATTCTGCTCTGTCACTCACGTCAGGTGTGCGGTGTTTAGGAAAGTTAGTCAAACAATAATCATATCCCAGGGCATGCTAGCCTTGGGTATGACCATAGTAACTTTTTGGTGACATCAAGTAAGGGTATCAATGAAGTTTCACTTTGAACATCACCACCACCAAGGAGCCTTCTCAGCATTAGATACCTAGCTTCTTAGATGCTCAAAGAGAACTCTGTGCCACAGTACCACTCAGAACATACAAGATCTTTCTAAGGGTCACAAGCTAAATCTATACAACCTTTGAGGAAATGACATCCTCTTCCTTTTTGAGTTCCTGGTGCTTCAGACTTCCATCCCAGACCCAATCATACTGTTTGGCCATACTCATATAAGGCACACCTGGTCTCTTTAGCTAGATTACAAATTATTGATGATTAGGAAGCTCATCTTAACCATCTTTTTTGCCCAAAACCTAGCATAGTGACTAGGACACAAAGCTTGAAATATTTATGTAGTCCATAGAAATCACAGTAGCATAGAAAATAACACTTGAAACACTTACTACTTGTTAGTCACAGAGCTGAGTCTTTGCAAAAGTTCTCTTTATCTTCACGAAATGAAGGTTCAGAAATGTGAGGTAACTTTCTCAAAGTCACACAGATAGAAAGAGTTAGTCCAGAATTCCAATTCAGACTCTCAACTCCATTTCTGCTAGCTCTAACACATTATTTGGTAATGTCTGATCTCCCTGATCCCATTACCAAATTGCTCAAGGCCTAGAATTGTTTTAATTAGTTCTCACTCTAATGATTAGTTCAGGACTCAAAACATACCCACTGCCATCAAATTGATTCCAACTCACAGAGACAGTGAAGGACAGAATGGAACAACTGCTGATATGGCTTCTAATGCTGTCCATCTTTATTGGAGCAGAATACTTTAACTCTCTCCTGAGAACTACTGGCAGATATGAACTGTCAACCTTTTCTCATTAATAGCTGAATGTTTTAATGGAGACATCTTGGCCAAGTGGGTTCTTTGGACCCAGCACACAATGAGATTGGGGGAGGGGGGGTGTAAAGGAGTTAGTTGACGCAATGGTAGCTGTAAACAGATGCTTACCAAACCAAATAGATGATCAGTGAACCATACATCTTACAGTTTACCTAGATCATATTTGTTCTTGCAGATAAAATATGCATTCATACATATGCGTAATCCTTAAGAGATCCTAAGTTTTTAATTCCTTCTTAAAAAAAATTTCTAATTCTTAATGCATTTCCCATCCCCACCAGCTTCCCGACCACATTCTACCTCCAACGTGTTGGGTCCTATGGTAGCTAGTCTCACAAGTCTAGTTTGGGTCCCTTGCCCCTCTCCCAACTCCTGTCATCCAGTTCTCAGCAGAATGACTCAATGACTTACGACTTTTCACAGATCACGTCACAGTCCATCACTGGCAGTGTTCCCTCTCCCCAGTAAGGTCCAGCAGGTGGAGTATTACCTGGGTTTCTGCCTCGAGCACCCGCAGGCGCCGGCTGGCAGAAGACAGCAGTGTCTCAAGCTCCAGCTGCAGGGTGTCCAGCTCCTCGATGCCAATGCCATCATCTTCAGAGCGAGCCAACACAGCTGTGTAGCGAGGACACACCTTCAGGTGGTCCACAGACTTGAAGTCATGGAACTGTAAGGGGCAGTCCTTCAGTTCGCTCATGGCCCAGGATAAAGAATGCTGTGGATCTGGAGAGGAAAGGGTGATGAGAGATAAACTGGCTGCAGAAAAGCCCCGGGGCTCCTTCCATCATGAACCGACAATGCTGATGCAGTTTCTGCTCACAGCGCACCTACTGTGCACTAAGCTGTCAGGTACCTCACAGACTTATCATGTGGAACTCCTCACCTAACCCCACGGGCAGGAATCATCATCTCCATTTCACAGACAGGGAAAAAGACCAACTGTAATCTGAACACAGGCAGTCTGATGTCTGTACTCTTTTAATCACCATAAGACGACGGACTCTAGTCTTCAGATGCTCTTCCCTTCTGCCTCCTTCCTCTGGGGTTCCAAGCTTCTCATTCTTCTAAAAGTTCTCTGTGCTGTTCAAGTGTCCAGTGTCCCACCCCTCCCTGACCTGGCTTTCTTTTCCATGGCGGTGTTAGGAACGTGGGCTGGGCACGCGGGCATATTTGTGCTCACACTCCACCGTTTCCATTTAGTATTCGGCCCTGAGCATACTATTCAATCTTTCTGAGCCTCGACTTTTTTCTTTTTCCACTTGTAAATTAGGCACAAAACCAGGAGGCAAATACTTTTGTCTCTGATTCAGTGTTCCCGTGCGTAAAATGGGGATAATAACAGTACCTACCTCCCCGGGATGTTCTGAGGATTAAATGATGCCCGTCAAGAGCTTAGCTCAGAACCTGGCACAGAAGAAGGGGGACAGTTATAACGTCTGGCCCCACTCACAGGTCGCCCCAAAGACTGCACTCAGGATGCCTGCCCTCTAGGGAACCCTGCAACACAACTCCCCCGCCCCTTCTGCCCCCAACTGCGGTTTCCTACGGCCCGGGGGCAGCGGGAGGGGCGGGGAGTTCCGGTCGGTGTGGGCAGCCGCCCGGAACTGGCAGTGGGTGGGCCCCTCTAACTAGCCCGGAGGCGGGTGACCATGCGTCTGCCCCACCGGGTTTTCTGGAGGGGTGCAGCCGCCGTTGGCTCACTGCGGTGGGACGCCGGCCCTGGGGCGTACCGCAAAGGACCTAGGCTAGGGGGCGGGGCTCGGCTGCCCAGGTCGTGGCGGTCCTGGGGGGCGGCAGGTAGGAGGGGCCCGGAGAAGACAGGGACGCGGAACCGGAAGCAGCTCAGCGCTTCGCCGCCTCACCCAGTCCTAATATGGTGCCCAACCGCGGCTGGGCTGTACCATTACTAGACTCTGTGGAGGGGTGCTGTCTTAAGGCAGCTAGAAGGCCAAAGGCATAAGAGAGAGCTCCAAGGGTGCCTCCTCAAGCCTGAATATAAACTTAAGATTACAAGAGTCAAAAATTGCCACAGTCGTTCCATAAGGGAAACACTGCCGGAGTCGCGCGCCCCTAGGCACCCTGTCTACCCTCAGGTGATCAGCAGTGGTACGGTCCGGAAGTCCCGGCGGGGACTGCGACTGCGCTTCTAGGGAAGGGCCGGCGTCGCCTCCCGGCACTTCCTTGCTTCCGCTTTCCGGCCCAGCCAGCGCTCGCGATGGTGAGAACCGGGCCCCTAGCCAGGGACCCCGTCGCTGTACTTCAGGGGTCTGAGTCGGGGGGAGATCGTCTCTTCAGTCAAGGGGGCTTGGGCCGTGAGACGTGGGGCTGCGGGGGCGCGACAGGCTTGGGAGGGGGGCGCCAGGGCGGGGGCCGATGTGAGGGGCGAGCAGAGGGGCGTCCAGCAAGGAGCAGTCTGTGGGTTTATGGCCCGGCTCTCAAAGCAGGTAGCAGATACCTATGAGACGTGCACGAATATCGGAAGTGGGCATACTAGGTTTGTGGGACGTTTTGAGGGCACGTAGTAGGGCCGCTGAGGCCCATGGAAGAGCCGAGTTCCTACCGAGAATAGAACTTCACTAAGTCTACTGCTCTTCACTGTCGTAGCTTCTTGACTCCCTCATTTCCCAAGGCAGATATCGGCCCCTTCCTGGCCACTCTTGACACGCCAGGGCTGCTTCTGCCCCACTGAAGGATCCCTTGTGTTGCTTCCGCCCCAGTCTGTCAGCTCCGAACCCTGCAGACCTTCCGTCCCTTCGTGTCTGCCGCGGTGATCCCTCCCTCCCTGGAAATTCGCCTTCTGTGATAAACGTGGGCGTTCTCGGGTGTTGTAATTTTGGCTCACCGCCTTCCTTTACACTCCCTGGTGACACCTAGCTAATAAATAGGTCCGTGTGTCATTGTGGATTATAGTGACTTGGGAATCTGCCTCCCTACCTCTGAGTTTGCTTTCAGCTTTCACCTGGAAACCTTAAGAAATCAGATATTCAGATCAAAATTCATTTTCTCAGCTGACCTTGCCTGCCCTGTCTCCTGTGTGTGTTAACCTATCTCTGCCACTGGAATCTGGGAGAGTCTCGCTTTTAAAACTGCTTGTTTTCTTATTGGCTTTTAAAAATTACTTTTATTCCAGTATTGTAAACAAACGAACACGTATGGCTGTTTTATCCAAGAAAAGGCAGATATGAGGCTAGTCTAGGACTATTACCCTATTAAGATTTGTACATAATTTCGGAGCCAACTCTTCGCTGACCCTATTGTAGGTTTTCAGAGGCAGTAATCACACGGGGGGACACTGCCGTTCTTTCACCTGAGGAGCAGCTGGTGGAGTCATACAGTGCTTTTGGGCTGGCAGCACAACTCCTTGCCACCAGGCCACCGGAGCTCTCTTTTACAGATTTAGGTCTTTAAATAGTTACTGTTGTATCAACTCAAACTCATAGAGACTTGGTGTATAGCAACACCTTCATAGTCACCTTCCTCACCTTCATAGTCACCTTCCTCACCTTCATAGTCACCTTCCTCACCTTCATAGTCACCTTCCTCACCTTCATAG